TTCTTTTAAGTACAGTAGATTACAGAGGTACTGAAATTAATTATGAAACTAATTTATTTTATTCTAATTAAAAGTTTCCAAAAAATACAGGCATAATTGCATGTCCTTTTTTCAGCCAGTTGTGAGGCTGTTTTACTTCATGTTGTCTTAAACCCTCCTGTATAAAATTCTCTTTAGCCCACCCCACACAGAAGTATAAAACCCTCTCCACTGTAACAAAAACAGTATCACAGAAAAAGAAATGCAAGAGCTGAGAGAAAGTTATATAAACCAAAAAAGCCTACCTAGGTATAAAATCTGACTGGTTGGAGATAGTGGTCAGCTCATAAATCTGTGAGTTGGATCCTACGGACAGAGCAATCAAGCTCTTGCTGGAGTTCAGGGACCTCACAGTAGCCGAAGTAACATGATCTGCATACGGTGCTTGCAGCATTGCAGAGAACTGGTTCCCTTCAGAGTTCCAGGAATACAGCGCTGTCAGGTCCTTACTAGATAGGAGGATGTGAACTACATTGAGCAAGAAGGAGAAAAATGAAATATTCAATGATAAATTTAAAAGTTGTCCTTGTAATGCCAGAAATGCCCTTACTAGCACAATGAATATAGTAACTTTTAAAGTCTGATAAATAATACCAAAAAAATGAGCACATATATTTCTGCAATTCCAGTGTTACAAACTAGGATTTGAACAAATAATGTCATTCACGTCTTACCTAAGCCCGAAGGAGGCATGAAAACATGGATGTTTCTTACATCACAGATTGGAAGAGACTGGAAGTGTCTAAAGGCAGACTGCCCTGTCTCCCAGATGAAAACCTCAGAAGAATTTCCAGATTCTACAAAGGAGCAAAATGACAAGACATATTATTTTGCTGCCTATTAGTTAAATTGCACACTGGTGGCCACTCAAAAGGCAGAGTTTGGCAGCTTTAATTAAGAAGTGAGCGCAGTTGTCAGTTTCCTTTTCACTTGGTGCCTAACTCTATGGTATGGCTGATGTCCATGGGTTGATTCATCCAACTAACATAATTTAAGGGCTTTTCTGCACACATTCACATAGAAGAATGCTAAGATTAGCACTAGACAACAGGCAATTGCAAAGAAACCTACAGACTGCAACAGGCATATGGGTGTAGTCATAAAATAATGCCCAAAACATAATAGTTGCAATAAAAAACACACGTACTTTGCTGACTAATGATCTTTGCATATCACAAAGTTCAGAAAAGCTTAGAAAAGGTACAGTCAGCTGCTAGATTAATAGAGTTATTGTTTCCTACTGTTCTTGGGAAAATATTTCATTAGTTTCATAAGTATTTGAGAACCAACACAATGCTTTTATTTTCTAAGGGACAAAACAGAGCTTACTTTAATAAAATGCTTATCAGTCAGTTGTCTCTCTCCACTAATACTGTAATCCCTACCTAAACTGCTTTACCTCAAATGCCTTTGCTACCAAATAAGCATATACTCATTAAACCTGGCGTTTATCTTCTACTAAATACCTTTTGCAACAATTAAGTAGATATCAGATCCAGAGATCCAGGCCTCCATATGTTTTATTTCTTTTGCTGGTAATTGATGAAGATTTCTAAACTCATTATTCAACCACTGGTACAAGAGCATGTTCTGGCTGGTATTTGACAAAGAAACTAGTAGGTACATAATGCCTCCTCTAGGAAACAAGGCTATGTTCAGAGGTCGGTAAATTGGAAGTTGATGATGCAGGACAAAAATATCCTTATTCCACCGGAAAACCTGTGGAAATATGAAATATTTATTTTTCATTCTATATTCATAATTTGTCTCAAGAGAAGAGAAATTAGATGTCATGATGAAAAACTAGGAAGACTCATAATGAGCTGCATTCTTCATTTCTAAGGTGGACTCTACATTAAGGTAGAAGCACACTGGTAAGTAATGACCTTGCTGCAAGCAGCTGTGCCTGTTCTTTAGACAAACAGGTTTATGGTCAGAAGCTATTTCTGTTCTTGCAGGTGTTTAACATACTAGATTTCAAAACAGAAATAATACTAGCAATCAAACCAACTCAAATGTAAATTATATGTTGATGTAGAGAGTATTGCTACACTTAAGCAATTTTAATTCTAGAATATTAAGTTTTATCAATCCGTAAAAGAAGTAATTTTTCATAAATATATATATTGGTATTTTTATTATCTCTTCATATTTCAAACTCAGAACTAACCAAACTACCGACATCAAAGCTAGGGAACAAGTGTATTCTAACCTGGATGGAACTGGAACTCGTGTGACTCATGAAAATCAAATAATCGTCTTCATCTGCAGCAAAATGTTTCACATGCCTGGTATCCAGAATGGAGAGAGTCTGTATCTGTGAGGTAAATGTGACAAAAATGGTGTCTAGATGTCATTTTGAGTGCTAAGTTTATACATATATACACGTTATTAAAAAAAATGTAAAATTACATATAAAACTGTTGAT